TTTAAACATAAAAAGAAAATTAATAATAAGCTTTTTTCTATTGATATCTGAGGAGAAAATGTGTCTCCACAGCAGTGGTTCTCAACCTTTTAGAGTCACAACCCCTCAGGTTGGGGTTCGCAACGGCACCCATCTGCCTGAGACTGTTCAGGCATTATGGATCCACACTGAATCCGTTGACTGATGTAAAGTTGATCCTATTCATTATCTATGGAGAGCAGGAGATCTGACCATGCGGTACATGATGGATATGCCGCAGCGAGTTGACTGACTATTTGCCGTATCTGAATTTGCATAAACACGACTCGACTTCGGCTTCAAGCAAATGAAGTCGATCCAGCGGCAATGCTGATCAAATATGAATCAAGATTCTGTTACCACGTTGCCTATTTCTCGCTTGAAATGTTTTCAGAAACATATTTTAGTGGACTGTTTAGCCGTAATATGTAAAAGTTTCGGGGGGAAAAAAAAGGGGGGGGGGTTTTTTTTTTTTTTTCTCCCCTCACCAAACCCAAAAAAGAAGAACAACCATTTCCCCGGCAAAAAAAAAAATAATTAAATTTTTGTTTCCAATTGTTTTTAGATTTATTGAAATAATGGCATCTTCACAGTCAACATGTCTCCTTTAGGACTAAAAGAAAACTAGATAGATGGAAACACATTGTTATATTACTAGTATAAATAATAAGTGTGCCATGTATAAAAACCAATAGTTTTTGAGTATATACCCAATATTGTGTATTTGAGTTCTTGTCCCCTCTGTTAAATGTCATAAAGGTTGACACTGTCAAGAGCTGCTTCCTCTCTCTCATTCTGTCTGCTACAATATGTTTTAGTCTCTACATCCATTTTGTGACCCCCATCGGTCCTGACCCTCAGGTTGAGAATCACTGCTGTACAGGACCAGGCAAAGGGCACGATTACAGCTCCACCGGTATGTTTTGCACAGTGTTGCTTTGAGCTAAATGCTAAAGTCAGCATTCTAACATGCTCACGATGACAATGCTGACATTTAGCAGCTAATGTTTATCTTGTTAGTATGCTATCATTTGCTAATCAGCACTAAAGACAAAGTACAGTTGAGGGATAACAGATTTTGTTATAAATCAGTATTAGACAAAATAAAATAAAAAAAAGGACCTGATTAGTTATTATAATTCATCTTTTTCACCGGGAATATCTGTTACAAATCTCATTAAAAAAATACGTAGTTGTTTTTCAGGTATTTCAGTCTGCACCTAAAGATCCACAAAAATTCATTACAAGATTTTAACTTGAGAGAAGTGAGTAGGAGACTACTTTGCTTGCTTCGATAGCCTCAGCTACATCCACACACCATCTTTTCCAATAGCCTGTCCAAGTGTGGTTTCAAGGGCATTTCCCTTTTGATTGCTCCGTGAAAGGCTTAAAAACAAGCCAGTCCTGAAAAGCGACGGTGGATGGTGGGAAGGGGTGTGAGCCTTAGAGAAAAGCAAGACAAAACCTTCATGCTCAGCTTTATTTGCTTGTTTCTGCCAGTGTTTTTTTCTTTTATTTAGTAGAAGACTGACTGGGAGTTTTACAGTCTCGGACAAGGAGAGAAAAACTGAGAAGAAAAGAAGGTTAGGGTTACTTTATACAGAGCGAGATTTACGGTCAACTCATATTGTACCTTATTCCTGCACTGAGATATGACAGTTATATATCTGAGACAGGACAAATCACAGTACAATTATAGTTTAATACATTGGAGCTGTGTATAGAAAGAAAGATAATTCAGGCCTTGAGTTGTTCTGTCTAAAGCTTCTGTTATTTACAAAAAGGCTACTGCCAGAGGAAACTTAAATAAGCTGCTACAGTGACGTTTAAAGGTACAATATTTTCCGGTATTTAAGCTCTGTTTTGTAGTGTCTCTGGTTGAGCCTGTGGGCAGCTGTCTACAGAATGGTTGATGATAGCAAAGATGTTCATTGTCTGAAGGTTTAGCATTCAGTCCACCAAAAACCTTTCGACCAACAAACACAGCTTGCTCCTGCAGAAGACGGCACTCGCACACCGTCAGATTCCCAATCTTACAGTGGACTCCAACCGTGACCCAGATTCATGCCAGAAAAAAAAGTATCCTACCAAATAAACTCCTGAAACAACTCCTGAAGCACAATCCACTTCTCTCACCGCCGTCCATCTGTATTCTCAATATGTTGCAAACACACAGCGCAGTTGGCTGAGCACCTTTGTTGCACCCAAGTATGTTGGCTGATGTTAGTTGCAAAAGAAAACTTTTCCCTCAGCCTGCAACATCGACTGTAGTTCTACTTTGGTTGGTGGTTTTCTGCCTTTGATATTGTTACATTTAGATTAGAGTTTAATGTTAAATTATACAGGTGGGGATAATGAGTGGTTATTATGGTCTATTGAAGCTACTGACCTGTGAGTATCCCTGAAATCTAAAGTCAAATTCAATACACTGAAGGGTTTTGTAGTTGTTATGACCAGTAGATTAGGGTGGTTGATGTTCGCAAACATGGCAAAGATATTGTACATTATATGCTTTATGAGGTTTTCTGTAGTTACACTACATTTTAGCATGTAACAGATGCCATTTTTTGTATTTTTACCTTTATTACATACTATACAGTGGTCATGATGATGTTTTTGTTTTTGAAGTTAAAATGTTGTCATGGATTCAGTGAGTTACTCTTTGGGGCACAACTAAACTGTTTTTTTAGCCTATAATTTAGTTTACATTTTGTGAAATTGGCACCATTAATGTTTGCTGAATTAGCTATTAGAAGCTCCAGAATGCTATGTGCCCACTGATGTATAGAAAACTATCACTGGATTAGTGTGATGAGAATAAGAATTCTCAGGCAAGTTCTGGAGTTATGGAGAAGCATCTTTTTTTCCTATGATTTCTGAGCACAATTACTGAATTTAATCTAAAAATATGTGTATCACAGTTGTAAAACCTCTGGTATACAGCGATAAGCTGACAGAAAATGACGGAGAGCCAATGCTCCCTGGATGAACTCAATCCAGGAACATACTGTACTACAGTGATTATATAGATGACATCTTACACCTCTGCACCACCAGGATGCCCCACTGATATCATTAAAGCAACTGACCCCAGACAATCTTGGGAAATTAAGGGAAATTCAATTAGCCATTACCCTGTAACCGCCACATGTGGCCAGAGTGTCCACTGTTCAGCAAAATTACATTACATAGTCTCATTTTAAGTACAAAATGCCATAAAGAAACTCTTGCTCTTTGATTCAGATGAGATGATAACGTAATTTTGTAGCTGTGCTGGAAATACAGGACATTTTGCACCTTATGCAGAATATGAACATTTCACAGTGTTTACATGTAGCCTTTGGAGTGCATGTACGGACACTATGCACTGAGGTTGATTTGAAGTCAATGTCTGAACGATTTAGGTGTTTTTAATTTAAACTGGGATTTTAATGATGTTCCTGCAAGTCACTTCACATTTCATAACAGTTGAAACAAGAAAAGCTCCGTTCTAGTGCAGAAAACATCCTGAGGGAAATATACAGCATCTTATGGCCGACTGCAGCTATCATCCAATAAAAAAGTTAGAGGTTTAACTTTATCTGTCATCCTTAGACTCATAATTGCACACACACAGACGCAGAAACAAACATACACGTGCACAATGACTATTCAGTAAACCACACACAGATCTCCTTTATCACATCTTGCCAGGCGCTGACAAACAACTGTAATCTCCTGAATACTGCGCTGACTGACACAGTCCATTCTCAAAAACACCAATTTTCAGATGCTCTATTTTCAGTTTTTCTTATAATGCTATTACACTGAAAGGAGAAAGATAAGCTTCACAGTGTGAGAGTGACAGCGGGACACAGACAGAGAAACAGACAAACAGACGAAAAAAAAAAAGAACAGAGATATGATAAAGACGGAGGATGCGTTTTGTCTGTGAAGCACCGTCCTGCTGTGTGAGTCTGTAGCCGTGTGCGTGTTTATAATTAGTGTACTCAAGCCCAATTCTTTGAATGCAAATGCATCTGCTTATGTGACTAAAATAAAATTCCCATTGAAGCTCATTCGACAAGGCAACTGACAATTTCTTCAATTGTGATAATCTTTACGCCACCTTATATGTTCATTTCAGCAATTTGAAGCAGACATTTCCAGTTTGTCGATATGACTGACAGAGGTAACAGCACGCCTATTGGGGGAATATGCAGGAATATGTGAGCTGTGATTAAGGCGCAATGCAAAGGTAGTTTCATTAATTCTACGCTAAATAATTTGTTTAATAGTCAGATCATAAGTTCGCCAGGTAATTAAACAATTTTCAGTCCAAACAACCAACTGAGTAGAACATAAATTAAGCTAATGGCCTTGTAAGTGGTTCAATGCATTTAAGCAGTCTTAAGTCATCTTTCTGTCTTCCTGTCAAACAGATATTCTTCCCCTGGATTTGATCAGCTCACTTCCACAGTAATATTATTAGTGAGCTTGAGGAAGTCATTAAAAACTGAACTGAAGTGCATCAAAAGGTTAATTTATTTGCTAATCATTCTCCTTCTCTGAACAATTATAATAAATCATCCACTCCATGAGGAACTTCAGTGTCACTTTCAGTTGAGAGACTTGATTTCACCCCATTTTACTGCTATGATCTCCAGTAGAGGCTGAAATAATTTGTGCACATTTGTGTGCGCATGAGTGTGTGGGACTGTGTGTGTGTGTGTGTGTGTGTATGCATGTGTTGCAGTTGGTGGTCTGACAAGGATTTAATTCCAAACAGACTACTGAACATAACCCTGACAGATGCTACATAACTGTTTTTTTCTGTGTACTGTACTCATTAGAAAATGCTTTTTTTGACAAGTAATGTGTTAAGTAGTTTGGGTTTTTAAAACTTCCCTCACAGTAAATTAAAAATAAATGCAGGATAATGTCATATTTTATTGGTGAAGAAATCAGAACCAGCAGATCATGAAACATCCTTTCGTGGTTACCTGTTGTAGATGTCGTCGTCCTCCCCTCCCCAGCCCCAGTACTCATTGGGGAAGCCGTTGATCTTCAGAAACTGTTTTTTACTGAGGCCTGAAACCCCTCCAAAGTAGCCTGCGTAGGGCAGCCTGCAGGAGAGCGGAGAGAAAGAGTTGGGATAGGAGAGGAAGAGAGAAAATGTGAGAAGAGGGAGACGTTATAAGGGGAAGCACTTGAGGACAGGTGACAAGAAGATATCACATTTCAAAGGATATATATTTAGCATTTTAAATGAATATTTTATTGCAAAATAAATTCTAATTGCCTAAGCAAACAAAACCCTTCACACAGTAGGAAGACGGGCAGCTTCAACTCTCTGCTTCTTCAGTATCAAATAATTTAATTTCAGAGAAGAATTGCTTTCTTTATGGCACAAAATGATATAAGCTTTTAAGGACTGTAAAGTAAAAACCTAAATCAGAAAAAAACTTCAGACATTCACTCATTTAGTTCACGCAAATGATTCATCCAACAGCGTCTATGGGAAATATGGATGCAACAACAACCCTGGAATAAGCTGCCATTATTTTAACTGTGGCCTCATTTGATTACAGCTTTTATAGGAAGGTATTATCATTAGTAATTAGACAAAGACACAGTAGATTTTTTCAAAATGCTAGATGCAGCAAGCATAACATAAAAGGGATCACCTTGTCCACACTACTGTAGTCTTATGTTTCGTTACCATGGCAGTAGCTCTTTTAAACTTTCTACATGTTTGTTTTAATATGTATTTTTTCAACTTTATTGAATGTCTGATTGTCTTAATTCATTATTCTATGAATTGAATAATCTTTTTCTTTAAGTATAGCATGAAGGAACTGCAAGCTTTCATTTTGTTATACAATGTTTTGTTGTATAATGAGAAATAAATAATTTTCCTTTATAACCCTGGTCATACAGTGAGACAGGCACATTTTTTCCAACCCCAGTTGAAATGACATCAAATAAACATTGCTACCCACTCAGTTTACAGTTCATAATATTACTAATTTAATCATTTCTGAGCTGAGATGCAAGCTACCGTGTAGCAAAGACTGCCCCTGTGTTTGTTTTCAGTGCTTGTCAAGCTGAAATTGTTCATGAATCACGGACAGCAGCATCATGTGGCTTGTTGAGATGGCAGAATTTACATTTGAATAACATCTTCAAGTGTTTTAGGCAATCAGATCTTAATGTGTCTTGTCTTGGATGCGTTTTTAAGTGGATAATTTATGGGTGCCTTTTTATAGTAAGTGGATAATCCATAACCATACATAATCCACTCAAGACACATGAAATGACCGGGTATAAAGAGGGGCCATATTATTTCTGCATACTGCAGGCCTCTGGTCCTTATAAGCAGCCGAATTAACACCAGGTTGCGTATAAGCCAAGTTACCTTGTTCGCTTGAATGCTAGAAAGTCTTAAATGGCAAATTTTCTACCTGCAGCATTGTCCATTTACAATGAAAATGTCAGACAGCGCTAAATTGAATTACCCCCAACGTGAATGTTTGTGACCCCAGAACGATCAATTAAAAAAAAAACACACATTAGAAAGAGAAATTAGAGCTGAAAGGACAACAAATGATGAAAAGAGGAAAAGAGAAGATGAGAGCAGAGGAATAGAAAATGACAGCGAAATTAGACTGAATGTAAGCGAAGAACAAGACAATTAAATAATGGAGGAGGAGATTGTGTTCTGTTCATGAAAGTACCAGCCATGCATATTGTGTGTTTGTGTGTGTAGGTGTGTGTGTGTGTGTGTGTGTGTGTGTGTGTGTGTGTGAGTGTGTTTGCGTAGACAGTGGACAAAATTGGGCGGACAGGCGTTTTATTTTTTCCTCGAAAGTCGTGAGACTATTGGAGTGAGACGGACGTCAGCTGCGAGTGTCATGACAGGCGCCTGGAGTCAAACCAGAGGGTGATGCGTATGTGTGTGTGTGTGTGTGTTTGTGTGTGTGTGCGTGCATGTGTGTATATTCTGTACAGCATGTGTTGTCAAACGTATGACGGCTCCTGTGGAAAGATGACAAGCTGAAACTAATGAGACCGTATGTTTCTGCACAAGTTCTCCCAGCAACAATATGGTGAGGAGTGCATGTGTGTGTTTGTGTGTGTGTGCGTGTGCTCAAAATGGACACTTGCTAGGATGAAGAAGAGCGAAATAGAGAGAGAGAGAGAGAGAGAGAGAGAGAGAGAGAGAGAGAGAGAGAGAGAGACTAGAGATTGTTTGGATGTTTTTCTTGAGAGCTGAATTTAATTTAGAAAGAGAATAAACAAAACTCTTATATAATCTCCAACAGCTGTGTAGTCCATAAACTTTATATCTGTCTAATTATTGCTAACTCTCAAACTTCTTCTAGCGGAGTGAAGGGGTAAAATTTCCACACTTACAGAGTTGTTTGGAACACAAAAAAGCTGTGTCGTCTTTTAATTTTAGCTTAAACCCTCTATAAGATGTATGATAAACCTGTAGGCCTTTGTGTCGTGCCGAGGATGCACAGATCAGACACAGGGAAGACACCCTCTCCGTGGATCATCACAAGATGGTACTTTTTCAACTCTCTGTTGCAAGAAAGTAAACAACAACAACAACTCTGTACTTTATTCCCTGCCGTTAACTGGTCTCCGTCACAATCTGATGCTGTATTCGTCCCATTCTGACCGTCCTGTTCACTGAGAGTGCCCAATCTAGCAGAGTCATAATAGGTCCGATATGGCTGCTTGGCGAGGGGGGACGTAACGCACATTCAGCGCTACTGGCTGCCTAGTCCTGACCTAGCAAACATGTAAATAGTCTGTTTCAGTTATGAATATTTAATGTTACAGAGAAATACTCAAGTTGTTCAGGGGCTTAAAGAAACATTCATTTTCTATCATTAAACTCCATCAAACAAGTTGAATTAATTTCCTGCATCATTCAGCCTTTGCCTGTCCCTGCAGGAGTTCGCAGGCTTTTTGGGGGGATTGTTTTGTGGCCTAAAATGCCAGATTTTACAGCTTTTCTTAAAAATTGCGATGGATGTTGCAATATTTTTAGGCATTTTTTTGCAATGAAATTGCAATAGTTGCAAATTTGCAACTGGTTGCTCCTGGAGGGACTGTTTTGCTTGTGGTATTCTATTTACTTCTTCTCCTCCCTTATTGATGCACTGCCACCTTTTGCCAATTTTATCATTTCACATATTGCTTTTCTTTAGTTTTCTCAAAATGTACGGTACATATTGACCCATGTACGTCGATGAAAAGTGCAAAAGTTGCCAGGATTAGGTCACGACTTAAATAAATCTCCTTAAATTTGCAAACTGGCTCAAGCACACTCATACTGTGACTATCCTGGGAACAAGTACATTTAAACATCCAAAAGGTTCTGTATAATATAATGATAATTTTAAACATTGCATAAGTTCTTCTGAGAGACTATTATTTGTGGAATGTTTAGGCCGTGTTGTGAAATGGACCTCAAGGTGACCCTTTCTGCTCAGAGAGCTATTATAGGTGTTATGAGGTGCTAAGGTAATGGAATAGCACTTAATGTGACCTGACTTTCAGTGGCAAATGTTTTCACCATTTATCAAAAAAAAAAAACTCCCAGTGCTTTTACATTTGAGAGCAGCTAAGGTTGTCTCCCTGAAATGACTCAGCTAAAATACAAAATCTACTCTCTGCCCCAAGTCAGTGTTGTGATGCCTGAACCTAATTTTATTTCATTAGTTGGTTGTTTGTTTCTTGTTTGCTGAGGTTTTTTTTCTCTTTAATTTGAAAGATTCCTAAATGCTAAAACTAGCAGGACTCTTTGAGCTTGGGAACCAATTTTCTTCAATGATCTGATTTTTACATCAGCAATTAACTACAATCAATTCTGTGACCTTCCAGTCACTCAATCCACCAGGCTTTACTATTATCCCCTTTTTCCTCAATTTTTCAGGGACCAAAAACTCTGGCAAAACCATTAAAAGTATTTAACTGATTCATTCCTAATAAGAAATGTTAGCTACAACCCTGCTTACCACCTGGTATAGTATTTGTTGCCAGATAGCATTAGCTTATTGAGCACTATATCAGGGACCTGCAGGAGCCCCGGAGGGTTTGCAGTAGGATAACTCTTGTGGACTGACAGCTCTTGGATGGGTAGGTCACATTCACTGGCCATGTTTAGGCCATTAATCAATGCTTCCAGTGCTTTTAGATAATTAAGGGCAGGTGTGGTGTCATTATGCAAAAAGACACAACTAAAACAGGACCCAACCATTCAGTGCAGGCTGTAAACTGCGGAGCTCTTCAGTCACACTGCATTTTGATAGCATGCTTGAGAATTGACTGGAAGGGACTTTCCCCAACGAGAGAGAGGCTAAAGAACAATACGTATCATGATAACGATGTGAGAATTTACATGAATTGAATAATAACGTTGTATGGAGTATTGGCCCCAAGCCAATGAGCTGATAAGCTGTTAGTGCTGTACGTTGTGCAGAGAAACAAAAGAAAATCAGAAGGATGTGGGTTCAATGAGTTCTTCAAAGAGTAGAAGAGTTAGGAAAATACAAAAGGAGAAAAAAAAAAGGAGAAAAAAAAGAGGATGTCATTAAAAGGTCCAGTGTGTAGGATTTAGTGGCATCTAGCGGTAAAGTTGCACATTGCAACTAATTGAACACCACCTGGGAATGAGAACAGGCTGTGAGGTGTGTAGTTTCTCCTAAAAAACGCAGATGTCTCATTGCGGAGGGGCCAAGCACCTGGAGTGGGCCCTTAGAAGTGCTAATGGAAAAGAACAGTGCCAAAAAAAAAAAAAAAAACAGCACCCTGTTGATATTTTAGAATTACAACTTCAGATTAAATATAAAAAAGATAAGCTCGACTAAACTAGTGATACTGGATGCCCATACAGCCATATAGCCTGCACAATACATAATCAACCCAACCATGACAACAAACTGGGCTACAAGTCTGCAAGCAATGTGTTTCCTACGATTACTACAACAACCAGGTAGAACCAGCAGTCAACAGAAGCAACAGCAAACAACGCTACCTTTGGCCAGATAGTCCAAAATGCCAGATAGTTACATCCACGACAGAACTGTCACCACGAATAATGACTATGAAACAACCAATGATGTTTTCATTCAGCAAACCCAGCAAAAATTACATAAATCCAATGTAGCCTACATGAAATGTACGAACTCAGCATATTCCACCATCATCATCATCATCATCATCATCATCATCATCAACATCACAGTTGCTTTCAGCTTTCTGCAGGGAGCGAGCTACTACTTCTTGTTAACATGTTCACCTGTTTGGCTAACAGAGCCAACAGCAGGACAAGAAGTTTGTGAGCGAACATATGAGGCCAAAAGATACTTCACTGCTCTCTGGACTCTTTTTTCCCCCCACTTTTATTGTTATGAAAAACAGCGAGATAAACAGAAATACAGGCAGGCTGCAAGCTTTTACAACTCCCAGAAAACGTGTTGTACCTGTTCGCATCCAAATCGACTGGCACAAGGGTACTAAGGGAGTGGAATCAGCAACAACACAAACAGGCCACATTGCCCCCTCTGGTGCTGGCTACTGCGTACTGTCGAGAACTCCTGACCACCGCAGGGCTCGTCTCCTCTCTGCAGCAGACAGACTGGTCTGACTTTTTATTTTTGCCACAATCAAGACACACAAATGAACGTTACTCTAAATATTCAACCAAACAACAAAAATGCACGTTCAGCGCTCCATGAGCGGAGGGAACTAGAAACATCTTCTGTTGCCAACTTCGTCCTATTTACTGGAGTAGTGAACAACGTTTCCATTGCATTAGAACCTTATGGGATAATAATGATTCTTATTATTAGGTATTAGGAAGGTGTTGCCAAGGAAACTGTGTGTGGAGTTAAAATTATATATATTATTATATATATGGTATTGTTATACTGGATTCATTGTTCTTAGTGTGAACGGCTTTAAACTGGCATCCAATGCACACCACCTGCACTCAGGTGGGGCGTATCTCTCTGAAAAAGGTTTCTTTCAATATATTTCCTTATTCAGGTTCCTTGGCAGCTTTTCCTCCCCCAGAGAAGTCAAAGGTTCATGATGCTGGTTAAAGCTACGTTTGAAAGTTTTTGCTGTTTTATGGCTGATTGTTGATTAGTTAGGTCTAGTTATGTTTTTATCTTTTTCCAGTTTGACATTTTGTTTGTTTTTCTGCCTCTAAAATCCGTCGAGACTTCTCAGTGATAAAGGAGCTTCCACAAACGGGGATGACTGCTGATGACATCTGCTGCTGAATACACAAAATCAAGTTGGAATATTTTTTCCCCCCCCAGTGACTACAGCCTAGTCAGTGTATATTTCTGACTCTACAGTACGTGCATATTTCTTCCCACTTTCTGCGTACTGAGATGCAACTAAAATGTGTTTTTCATTTTCAATTAATCTGCTGATTATTTTCTAGATTCACCGATTCACTGTTTGGTCTATACAGTGTCAGAAAATTATTGATTACTGATAAGCCGATGTCATTAGTGCCCCACTGATATAAAATATAGAAAACACAGAAATAACAGGTTTCTTGCACAGCTCCTTCTTGGTGCAGAAACCAGCCACAGCAGTAGATTACTTAACAACTTGCTCCATACAGGTTGGTCCTGTATTCAACACTTCAAAGTTAATAAGGGTCTTTTCACAAGCTGTAGTCTAGACTTGTTAGTTACGCTTTGTATCATGTGCTCTTGTTAGGACTACTGAAGTATGACCAAATAACAATTGGCGGCGGTGAACTGGGGTGTATTTTCATGCTAATTTAAGCTTCAGACAAGGATTTCAAAGTATAATGAGATTTAGTCAAATTAAATACTGTAAATTGTCTGTCAGAACAAAGACTGCAGGCCATCTAAAATGTTTTTTTGTCAGGCAGCCAATTGCATATTTCTACATATTTATAATTTAACCAAAGACAAGCTCAAACTAAAATTATAAATTAGACTGTGGCAAATACCGTAACATTATGTTGCATTCAAATAGGCTGGACTGGACTGTTCCGAAGCGTCAAGACTTATTAAGGTTAATTCAGGTAACAGCTCCCTCGCACGCCATGGTGAAAATCATCCCCTCACCTGAAGCCAAACTTGTCCATGGCGATGGCGAAGTGTCTTGGCTGGTCGTAGCAGTGGTAGAGGTTGCGGTCGTCCATTGGGATCAGGTCCACGTCGCTAAAGATGAAGCAGTCGTACTCTCCGTCCTTCAAAGCCTCTGTGTAGCCAACGTTCAGCAACTTGGCACGGTTGAAAGTGTCCTCACCCAACTGCAAGAAAACACACAATGAAGAGCATTATTTCATTGTTTTCATAGATGAGAAGGGCAGATAACGTAGCTTCATCATTATCTGCTTGAAAGGCTCTGTGTTTAAAAAGAATGGGTAGTCATCTGAAACACAAATACGTGATATCATACATTTTAATTAACTAGATAACAGATACCGTAACTCTGTGTCTATAATGTAAAAGATTAAAATAGCCTTAGGTGATAGCCTAAGGTTAAATGGAGACTAATACAGGAGGTAAAGAGAGCATTGAAAACATACAAACCATGCTATTTATTATACTTAAATACTGTAGTATGAGCAGTTTCCCAAACTTTTTCTCTGGGAACCACTTTTTTAAAAATGACAAACCTTGGCGACCCAATTCACAGTAAGAAGAGCAAATATTGTGCATAAATGAACGTTCCTGACCATTTTTACAGCAAAAAATGTCTGTATCACGTCATATTTTCTTGAACAGGTAAAGCAGCTATTTTGAAGAGATATATGTTTGATAAATCCCAACTTTCTTTTATGAATGTGTTATAAGAAACACATGTTAAATAGTTCATAAGACCTAATGAATACATTTAAGCGGAGTTACTGTACCTGGCCGTCTGAATGTTTTTATTTCCTCTCATCAGTAAAACAATGAACACATTGTAAATACTCCATAAATTAAACAAAATCAATGCATTGAGGTTAACTGAAGTTTCTCTCAGCAAAACAAACAGAATATGTGCTCCCTTTGTGAGACAAAATATGTGCATATAGGAAATGTTAAGGCTCTCGTTTTTTACTTTTTTACTAACAATGAACACATTTTGAATACTTTATACTTGAGAAAAAATAATTAAAAATATTCTACAAATGTATTTGTGACCCAAATAAAATCTCCAGCGACCCACATTTGGTTTGTGACCCAGTCTCTGGTAATGAATGGGTTTGAGCACTGTTGCAATTATGAATTGGGTTTTTACGTGTTTATGTGTGGTTATCACAACCTAATGCTTAACTGCTACAGGCACTGTTGTCATAAACAAAGAGAAAATTAGTTAGACCAAACCAAATGAGGTCAGGCTCACATCAAAGGTGTTTTTTCTGAATTAATTCAGTGTGAACTGATGTGTTTATTGACCCCAAGAAAAGATCAGCTGCCTGAAACTGTGAAACACGTCTGTTTCTGAGCCACTGCCTGGCTTCAGTTCAACACCTTCAATTTAATTTAATTTTTCAACCATTTTTTTTTCATCTATTTACCTCTGTTGAAGTAGAATCCTGCTATATATATGAAAATATATGCAAATAAATGTTTGTTATTACTGCAGATGAAAAGGTAGTATTACAGCCAGCTAACCAAGCTAGCTGTTTGCCCTGGAAGCAGATCCCTATAGCAAACACAGACTGTAAAAACTGTCCATAAACACACTCGCATACCCTCACCCATACAGATCAATAGCTTCTTCATCCATACAGATCATTCAGTGGTTAAACTGATCAGGGATCAGATAAATGCTACAACAGCTTGTTATGTCTTCTGTTTGAGCCCCTTTAACCCGTCGCTTTAATGAGGCACGGAGAATGACAGCTTCAGTGTCACATTATTTTACAATATCTAATAGCTGTCCACACAAGACGCATTAAGTGATTTTCAGGCTGAAAAATACCAGAATTTTCCTTTAACTTGTCATCACCAGCTAAGGTGAAGCTTCGGTTTTAGTGCCTCATTGAACATCATTATTTAATGTCTGTGGTGCTGGTCTGCATTTATCTCTACATGCAGTATGAGCTGATGTGTGTATTGACCCCAAGAGAGACGGATGCTGCAGTGAAATACATCTGTTTTTCAGTCTCTGCATGGCCCAGGTTCAAGATCTTGGCTAAGATAAATGCATTCTTGTCGAGCAGCACAGCGGTGTAAAATCGTCAAGGTTAATATATATGACAGTTATAAATTCAATAATGCACAGGGTACTGTATGTCTCTTTCTGCAGAGCCCTTGTGCAACAGCTTGGCTTTATAAAAATCCAAGTCCTACTGAAGCTGCAGGGAGGTCAGTGAGCAAGAAGCGAAGCTACTGTGCAACTTGACACTCTTTGGCAGACAATTTTGTGACGCACGTTGACAGTCCATCTTCTCCGAACATTCCCTGAATTTATTCTGCCTTTTATGACAAGTGCAGTGAGGAAGCCAAGGAAGGGGATAGAGAGAGACAGAGATATGAGATAAAAATTCAAACTCTTTGTACTGTCAGTACCTGGAACATGCATTAACAGACTGAGTCATCAAGACTATTTCCCCTCAGGAAACACTTTTATTCACTTACTGTACAACTGTTTCATTTATTTGAGTACAAATGGCCTCATGTCCTAAAGCAAGTGCAAGTACAATCTTTATATGCATTGTGGCGTCAGCCACCACAACATCTGAAGCCCTACTTGGGTCAGTGAGTTCCTCTGCCTATTTGTCTGAAAAAGCAAAGGATAGCAAAATTGTGAATTTTATTACAAAATGAGTGAACGTAAGGGCTGAAACAAATAGTCACTTAACAAGCCAAAAATGTCCCAAAAGGCCCCATTTTTTCCCCTTTCCTATGTGATATTAAACAGAATATTTGGGGCTTTTGGACTGATTGTCAAAACAAGCAATCTGAATATGTCACATTGGGTTCTGGGAAATCAGCATTTTTTGCCATTTTATAGACCAAATAATGTATCAGTTAAACAAGAAAATAATCCGTGGATGAATTGGTGATGAAAGTATTTATTAGTTGTGCTCTATACCACATAAGTACAGACATGAAGGTCTGAAAAACTGATTGTGAAAATTATTGAAATTGCTCTTTATTTTAGGACTTGGTTTAGTGGTGTCTTGAAAGCAACTGTTGGCTGGCGGTAGTTGTATGTACACACAATAAAACCTTCATTCATTCACTGTTATTCCTGATAGACAATATCAGTATAGCGAACTAAAGAGAAATCTATTATATTTACACTGGAAAATGAACTTTTAGAGTTATCATGACTGTAATGTAGACATTCATGCAAATCTGACTAGTGTAGTACTGTTAAGTCCTTATGCAAAATCTGTATAAATGTGAGGGGCCCCACATGACAAGATTACATTTGTTTATGTAAATGAGGCCGGGTCCCAGTGTGAAGCTTCATTCCTAATATCATAAAAAAGTACTTCCCTGTTGGATGAATGCCTTAGTATCTACAGTATGTAGCAGAACAATGAACCACTGTTACAAATTCGCTGCAGTCACGTATTCCTTGGCCATTAGGGAAAACCACCCAGTTTTGACAGCACAGAAAATCTGCGAGATGATTAATGCATCTGCTGACTGTCCTTACTTCTGTTCAGGATACACTTCATTCTTTAGTTTTTTGTTTTTTTGGAGGTACACTTGCTTCCATACTGGTGCATTATCTGTTCAAACTGACCGTGAATCAAGTACAATGCGTAATCCCCCTGGTAAGCCCACTAATACCTGAGATTTGAGAGCATAATCCCCTGTGCAGGTAACAAAAAATCTATTGTCACAAATCCACTAGGGCTCCAACAGTCGATTCAATAGGTTGGAACAACATCATATGAAGATAGGAGAGCAAAATATGACCAAAATCAGCTCAGAAACAAAATAAAGCGAAATCAGCTAGAAGTTGAATAAATCTTCAAAAACAAGCAACTATTTCATAGAAGTAAAACAATATTCAGTGATTCTTGGGACCTGGGACAAAATATAAATATTAGTTGTGGAGTAAAATGACAATAATCTAAACTATTAAAGTAATGAGCCTTTGCACAATAAAATCTTATGTTAAATTATATCTCAAATATTTCATTCAGTCTACTTTGAAAAGTGTCAAAAAGTTCTGCATATTTTTGACATTTTCATATTTTAAATGATTAGCTTAAAAAAAGTACAACATCTGTACTCTTTTTCTTATGGTGGCTTTTGCATAGGTTGTATAATTTATAAATGCTTTTCACAAGAACTACCTCATGTCTCTGCAAAAAGTTCAAAAAGAGTTTCATCTCAGAAGTCGCTCTTTTTGTGCTGCAAGCGACAATCAATAAACACAGATTCTAATTTTCTTGCATTTGTGTGTTTGAGGGACAGAAACAATGAGTCAGGGAGGCAGAAAGAAAGACAGTCTCTGCTGTGTAGCTCCCTGCAGATGAGCCAATATATTTTTTACAAAAACCAAGCCCCTCTTTTTGTGCTCCTAACCTCATTAAGCATTATTGCGGCCAGTGAATATTATTTTTTAAATTTAGATCATTATTTTTTTAATAAGATGTCAGCGTGTGAACCTCCCAGCATCTCGGCTTTATGGCGCTTTACATCTTTTCAAATAACTTCCTGCCATAAGAGAGTTCACATCAGCAGGATGTGAGGTAAACTGACACCCATTAAACTGGACAGGCCATTTAAGTGGAGTATACAGAGGCAATGAGATTGATAGATATAATGGTTTGTGGGTGTGTGGGTGTGTGCATTAATTTGTGATACCTTGATCAGATTTTTTACTCCATTTTGTTCATTTTTTTGGGGTAATTTCATGTAACTATTTGACAGAATATTGATATGCACTTAATTTATGAAGTGTTGTATTTCAAATGTCCATCTACAAAATGCAACTTATTATTTCACAATATAAACTGGCAAGAGGCCATATTGAAGAGGATGATGCAGTCTTCCTCTGTGCTCAAACCAGTCCATCTCCAACTGCTCCATTGTTGAGTTTTTTCAATATCAGTTGTTTTATTTTATTTTGTTATTGTTGACGCAGCGTTTTCTGCGGACTCTGCATTTTCCCCAGCTGCCGGGCTGCTTTTTGCTCCCCCCCCGCTTTAGGTCTGCTGTTTTCTGACCAAATCTTTTTCCATTTTTTTCTCACTCACAATGCACTGGAAGGGGACTGTTCTGCCACAGTTTGCCTACAGAGGCCCACAGGGGACAGTAAAACCACTCATGTGTGAATATTTGACAAATC